CGCACGCACGCACGCACACGTACCTTCCCCTCTGTGAACGGGGACAACACGTGCGTGTACATGTCCGACTGGTCGACCACCGCCTGCGTTCTGATTGGACGCTTGTGGGCGGCGCTGCCTCGACTGGGACCCGCCTCCATCGCCTGGGACACACGGACGAGGTGAGTATTACATGTACGAGCGCCCTGTGGGGGGAGGGGCCTGTGGGGGGGAGGGGCGTGGCTCACCGCGCTGTAGGTCTGCTCCGCCTCCAGGTACTCTTTGTACACCTGGTTGAGTTTGTCGAACACGACGGCCACGACGGGGAGACTCCCCCTCTCGCCGCCCGCCAGGACTGAGGAGACACGCGAGACCGTTGGACTCGTTGTGGACAAACGTCACTTCGATCGGATCAACTTGTAACATTTGAACGTCTTTTAATAAACTGGATGCGTAGATCTAAATAAAGTGACAGAGGACAGACAGGAGGACAGACAGGAGGACAGACGTACTCTGGGAGCAGACAGACAGGATGACCATCTTGCAGTCTCTCCTCCGTAACAGGAAGTCCATCAGCTTCCCTTTGTCCTGCAGAAGGTTCACAGTCGGAGACAACTTGACCTGCAGGTACCACAAGTAGCCTGAGACACACACACACACACACACACACACACACACACACACACACACACACACGCGTGAGAACAACAACATCTTTAAATGTTGATCTAAAGTCCTAAAACAAACAAACATTATTTTGACATTTGCTGCGTGTGCGTGTGTGTGTGTGTGTGTGTATGTGCGTGTGTCCACCTTCACTGGCGCTGATGATGATGTCGGGCTGGAAGACGCTCCATGAAGACGAGTCTGTACCGACGGTTAAAGATCAGAGTAAAAGTACACAGTAGAAATACTACATGTGTGAGTACTAATCGGAGGTAGAAGGATACAAAGCTGACACGGAACTGGAGGCTGAGAGGGAACCACAGCGGGACCTGCACACACACACACACACACACACACACACCCACTGAGGACCAGTACACACTGTGCGTGTGAGGGAGTGTGTACTGGTCCTCAGTGTGTACCTGCTAGAGGGATCCGGTAGGGGTGGATGGACCGAGCCGGTAGAACCGGTTGGTGTGTGTTCACAGCACAGTCGGGTTCCTTCAGCTTGATGTCAAAGATCAGAGACGTCTGAGACACAAAACACACACACACACAGATTGTAGTCTCAGAGAGAAACCAGTTAATTATATATATAATGTTATATATATATATATATATATACACTCAGTAAATAGAGAGTGATGACCTGTGAACTCTGATGATGAACAACAACCAGATTGTCAACGATGTTCAGAGCGAACTTCCCCGTCGTGTTCAGCTTCAACACGTGAGTCTTCTTGCCGGCTCCCTCCCTGGGGGGGGGGTTCATTACAGCCATGAGCATTTAGTGTTGTCGTCACAATGACAAACACAGACGCGTGTGTGTGTGTGTGTGTGTGTGTGTGTGTGTGTGTACTTTGGTAGGTGATACAGCACCACTTCTGCCCCGGCGCTGCTGGCGGTTCTTGAGTGGTGCTTCAGATACATGACGAACAGCTGACCATAACTACGGACAGGAACGTCCGTTAGATGATCCATAGCAGTAAAAACACTACGTGCAGAAACTCCACCGGCGACTCACATGGTTGCCATGGAGACGTCTCGCTCCGACAGGCTGAGTTTGGCTGGTTTGGGGACGACGGGCAGCTCGATCTCAAACTTTGACATCTTGGACATCGTCCCACTCTGAAGAACAAAAGACCAACATGACTCCGTCCTTTACGCACACACACGCACACGCACGCACACGCACACGCACACACACACACACACACGCACGCACGCACACCTTGAAGAGCAGCGGCTGCAGCACGTTGCCCTGCACCGTGGTGGACAGCAGCAGGACGGAGGTCTCGGGACAGTACTGGTACCAGTTCACGTTGATGCTCTGACTCTTCAGCTGCTTCAGGCTGCGCTTGTCCGGAAACACCTACGAGTGGGAGGAGCCAGAGAACAGGTGAGAACACGATCAGAGACTTAATTCGTTAGCGCTTTGTTTTCATCTCGTATCGCAGAACGCTTTTGACTTGTTTTCATCATAAACACAATGTTGTGTTTTTATTGGATATGCACTAGTTTGCTTTCAGAACTTTAAGCAAAAACTGGAAAAAAGAAGAATTCCCCTCGACGTGTTTTGATCAAACGAACTCGTCTTGGCTCTTAATAATCGCTGAGCAGCACAAAGAACACGTGGACACCTGGTAGAACTCGATGCTCTGGTCCGTGATGAAGACGATCTCATTCCAGCTCGTCCAACAGAACCCCAGAACACTCGCGTTCTTCGTCTGCAGGACGGACAAAACACATTTATTATTACACACATACAAGTCATCATTAAAATATACATGTTAATTATGCTGGTGTTTGTGTGCATACCTTGCATTCCTGAGTGAACTCTATGTGCGGATAGTCGGGTATAAAGTTGATGAAATCCTGCAGAAGAAAATAAAATCAAGTTTGAGTCCTCCAGAAACAAACACACACACACACACACACACACACACACACACCACAGATTTCAGAGTCCGCTGCACCGCCAGGATCTTGTTTCCGATGGAGAACTTGATACACTTCACTTCTCCTTTATCGTCCATTCTGAGAAGCAATGATCATAAATACGATTACATGTCACATAAACGCATCACAGACAGTCAACAACTCGTCCCACACAGGTGGAGGTACCTGAAGGCAACGCTGCTCTTGTCCTCGGGCCCTTTGACCACCACACCTGTGGCTCCACCCGAACGCACCGCGAACACCTGCAGGAAGTGACAAACACGGCTGTGTAATTATTGTGTTTATTTGTATATACTGTGTGTCGCATTCATTTTACGTTGGGTTTGCAATCTGAATATGAATCATTCACAAAATATTCATACAAAAGTAAAATCACATTTTACATTAATAATTTCCATTAATCTGAAATATAGAAAGTAGACTATTCCATGTTTAGAATACTTCAACAACATTGTACTGTAACAGGGTATTTTAAATCTGTGGTATTAGTTCATTAGTAAGAGTAGCATCAGTACTTTTTGCAGTATTCTTTCAATGTGTCATTAGTACTTTTAGTACAACAGTATCTACAGTGTGGTATTAGCACATGTACTTTAATAGATAGTGAGTGCTATTAGTACTTTTAATGTAGCAGAGTACTCTGACTTTTCAAAGTTTGACATTACTCCTTTACACTGTTTCTTTAGTACGTGTACCACGACAGAGTACTTTCAGTACTTTGTTCATGCATACATTAAGCTAACGTTAGCTGGTACTTCTATTACTAAATGCACGTGGAATCAACCAGCACACTGCGCGCGCACTTCCACCAACATAAACAAGTACGTATGTGAACGACGTGAAAATCACGTCACTAAAAGTCCATCAAAACGCCAACAACCCGACGTTAGCATAGCTGCTCCAGCTAGCTAGCTTAGCTCACCTGCTTGTTAGCCTCATCGAAGAAGACGTTGTTGACGCTGGAGGCGTGTTCAAACTGCACCGGGTCCTCGCAGAGCTCCAGGTAGAAGTGCTCCTCACTCATCCTCACGACTACGGTCCCACTGCTGCTGGCTCGGCTCGGCTCGGCTCGGAGTTCACGGTGGGGCGACGGTTCACTTCAGCCAGCACTTCCGTCTTCCGGTTAACGTCTTCACAATAAAAGCGGGGAGTGCACGCTTAATTTAAATCAAAATAACATGGCTTATCGCCATGAAAGGCTTCACATACATGGACTTTGACTTGGGTTGAGTGCCGGATAATGTTCGTATGGTACTCTTATTCTGAAGAGGTCAGACCGGATGTTAGCTGTTGGGAGTCATGTGATCTGAAAATCATGTGATCCAGAGAGAACCTTAAATAATGTATTTAAGTAACGTGTATATAAATAGAACACACCTTCTAGTTAACACATATTAATATTTTTGATCAAAACCAATAAACAAAAATACCAAAAGTTGTCATGCTCACCATTTAATGTTCATTACAAAAATCCAACATGGCATCAGTCGAGAAATCTAAATATTTCTATGCAGATCAAAAAACAACAGATTTGATGAATTAAAGTCCAACAAACTAAAAGCTTAAAATAGAAACTTCATCACACAAACATCCATATCGTTTTTATCTTTTTCATTTAGCACCTAAAACGCCTTTGTTTCTTCTGCGCTTCAATTTCAACAGTTAATAAACACTCAACTAATAAACAGCCGTGACCTTTGACCCCTCCCCCCACCATGTTTGACCCCTAAAACCAGAGGGTGAAAAACAGAACATAATGTTTCATTATTTTTCTTAGGTTTGCCTTTTACTTTTTAGAAAATTCAAAACAAAATGTTTCAATCCAGGTTAAATCAATTAGAACACTTAACTAAAGTGGGAGAAAAATGTAGTATCATTATACATTAATATTATAAAATAATCATTGGCCACAGACTGAGATTAATTTACTAATATTGACTTTCATACAGATTTAGACATTTGGGCTTCTTTGCTGAAGCTGAAGCGTGAACCTGCAATCGGAGGTCGCGTGCGTCCCGCCGGACGCAGCGCTCTGCTGTCCGCTCACTGGACGCAGGCGGCAGGACGCGGGTCTCAGCTTCATGGAAACCTCTCGGTGCCTTTCAGGACGCTCTGACTTCAAACACCCACTGACCCACTGAAGCTCCGCCCTCTTACGGCCGGGGGGTGGAGCTCGTTCCGGCCCCTTTAAAGGAAGCGCTTGGTGCCATGGAGGTCGGGGGGGCTCCTCCAGTGGTCTCCTCTTTTACAGCTTGTTTTCAACACGGCGGGATCGTGAAGAGAGAGCGGGGGGGTCGGGGGGGTTAGTCGTCGCAGTCGGGTTGAAGCGGAGGGCTGCCGTCGTCAGAGGACACGGGGAAGGTTTTCTTCCCTCGTCGCTGAACGTGGTCCTCGTTCCTCTTCTCCAACGCCACGATCTGTGGAACCACGAGACACCCAGAGGCTCCAAAACATGTGTACAACTAATATACTGGAGTCTGTGCAGGACATCCGACCGTGTGCACGTCACCTCGGATATGAACTCCGCCTCCTCTTCACCGACCGGGACGTTCAGGCCGCTCACGCTGTTGAAAAGCTCGTAAACACTCATCGCCTCGCTGACGCCTCTCTTCTGGAAGAACTGACACACACACACACACACACACACGTTAAATGTGAGAATAACTAAACATTTCATCATAACTTTATTTCCCTTTAAACAGAAAACACCCTCCATCTCATTTATAAAATGAAAAACAAACAAACATTGAGTATAAAAGTAAACTTCAGCGACCTCTGACCCCAGAACTGTAAACTAAAGTTGCGCCTCCGTTACCGTGGCAACGTTCCTGCAGTCTCTGAAGAGGAACTCCAGGGCGTGAGGGTGGGTCGGTTCCACGGACTGACCGACGTCGATCAGCCACACCTGTCAGACCCACGGATGAGGGAAGGTGTACAAGTACACGCAAAGTACACGGAATGGAAGCAGAAGACGAGGACTTACCTTTCCTTGGTGCCACAGCATGTTGTACTCACTGAGGTCGGCGTGCACCAGGTTACACTCCTGATACAACTGCTGCATCACCTGCACGCAGAGACAGACTCAAGGTTTAAAGATACTGTTTTATTGTCTAGTTTATTTTACTCCACCGTGGTCGGAGATACTCGCTCTACAACATGAGGAGAACACGTCCTCTTCTCACTCAGAAGGTACTGATTCAGGCTCTTGTCGTCTCCCTTCTGGACTACTGTAACTCCCTCCTGCAGGTCTCCTGCTACCTCCATCCCACCTCTGCAGCTCATCCAGAATGCAGCAGCTCCACTGGTCTTTAACCTTCCTAAGTCCTCCTAAGTCCATTGGACTTATAATGGTTCTTATCTACAGCAAGTTGTAAATTGGCTTATTTGAGGAAATCGCACTTTCTTGTTTCTTGTTCTTCTGAGTTTGTGTCCTGATGGTTAAATGTTCTTATTGTAAGTTGCTTTGGATAAAAGCGTCAGATAAATGACATGTGATGTGATGTTTATTATTACAGCTGCTTTCATTTGAAAATCTGAATATAATTGAATATTAAATCACTAAAAGCTTCTGAATGAAACATACAGGTGAAGAACTTGGTAGTTTCTGTGGTACTCCTTGGTGAGCACACAGAGTAGTACACAGAGTAGTACGCAGCGTAGTACTAGCTGGGCGGTGTACTTACGTGGAGGACCTGGTAGAAGGCGTTCTTCATGTCCTCAGAGCTCAGCACCACGTCCTTGAGTTTGGGGGCGGGGACGTGGTCTTTGCCGATGAACGACATCACCAGGATGTGCTTCTTCAGCAGCACCACCTCCGGACACGGGATCTCCGCCTTCTTCATCCTGGGCGCCACGTGAACATTTAAACATTACTCTTTTTCAAACCTTGAAACAAAACAAAATGACCTCCAGCGGGATTTTTTTTTAATCATAAAAACGTAGTTATAAGTGAAGTTATTTTTACTCATGTCTGATCTTTCTGACGGTCTCTGAACGCGTCACAGATGACGAACGGTTCAGAAAAGACACAAAAGAAGACGTTTGAACCAGATTCTGAGCTCCTCATTGAAACTATGACATCGTCATTGATTCACAGTCATGTGACCATGAATCAGATAAGAGAACGTCTCTAAATCTGGTCTGAGGCCCAGGATGGGGGGGGGTGGGTCTACCTGGACAGGTTGTGCATCTCCTTCTCCGCCCACAGCCGGATGATCTTGCGCGGGTTCAGCTTGCTGAAGCGGTCGATGAAGCGGTAGTCGTCTTTGATGTAGCGGTCCCGGTTCTTGAACTCATTGAGGGTCGTCTTGTAGACCTTCAGGACCACTTCCTGTGGAACCGGCTGCTCCTCCAGGCTGGAAAAACCAGAGCATCGGAGGGTCTGTGTTGTGTGCTACTGGAGGTGATCTGGTGTCTCACTCCGAGACAAGGGGGGCTTCTTTAAAAAACAACCAGTGAACAGAAAGTGACCCTATATGGACCGACGTAGAGACCCGTATACGTCTCTGGTGGACCTGTCAATCAGCGAGTATCCCCGCCCTAAACCTGCACTTTAGGGTCCGTTTGACTCTAAATGGTTCATAATCTACCAAATGAACATCATGATGTGTTGAAGAAGACTTGAAACTAGAGACTGAGACCATAAACTCATGTTTACTGAGGGAATAAATCAAGAGAGACGTCATGGGAGCAGAGGAGTCGCCCCCTGCTGGTCACTACAGAGAAGTAGTCATTTCCTCATAGACGTCTATGGGAGCAGAGGAGTCGCCCCCTGCTGGTCACTACAGAGAAGTAGAGTCATTTCCTCATAGACGTCTATGGGAGCAGAGGAGTCGCCCCCTGCTGGTCACTACAGAGAAGTAGAGTCATTTCCTCATAGACGTCTATGGGAGCAGAGGAGTCGCCCCCTGCTGGTCACCACACAGACTGCAGCTTGAACACATGAAGCGTGGCTGTGGGGTTAGCGAGAGGTCGGCGTGACCTCCACCTACCTTCCTCCGTTGGCGTGGAACACCACCGACTCTTTCCCGGTGCTGATGCAGCCGTTGATGTTCTCCAGGACGCCGGCGTTCACCATCTTGTACATCAGCAGGCGAGTGCGAGGATCCACCGCTTGCTCCTGAGGAGGGAGAGAGATTGAACTGAAAACATGAAGAGCAGCCTTTAACGGGCGTCTGGTGTCTGTACGTACGGCGGTGGAGTGCTCCTTCTTCTCGTGCAGTCGGGCGCTGCGTCTCTGCTCGCTGTGGCAGTGCTGCTTCAGGGCGTTGAACACCTGGTTGGACAACTTCAGGTCCATGCCCAACCCGTCGCCCACGTGGACCTCCGGGGCGAACTACGAGAGGATGGGAATGACGTCACGTGACATCGTACACAACATGAGTGACAGAACCACCGACAGAGGTTCACTTCAGGTACCTACGATGAGTTCAGGCTCTGCTCAGTAAGACTTTATAACTATCATGATGCGTTCACGGGTAGTCTGTAAAATGTAGTCTTGGTGATGAACTACAATACATCCAGGTGTTTTAACATAAATAAGTAGATAACAGAAATGAATCATGATTTGTTAAACTCCGTAACAGGAGCGCTAAGAACATTAGAGCTTAATCTGTTCATGAGGGTCATACTAATAGAGAAAGGAGTCTCACGTTGTCCATGCGCGCCGTGTTCTTGCGTCCGCAGGTCACGGCGTCGTGTTTGGTGGTGATGTTCTTTCCCTTCCCGGTGAAGCCTCTCCTCGGGGTCGTCTGGGGCTTCTCTGACGGGATCGAACACACAAACAAGCTTCTAACATGGAACTGAGACATTCGAACGGTCTTATGGGCCTGCTGTGGTTCTGTAGGGGGCGTGTCTCGTTTCCTGCCTGGTAGAGGGGGTGTGTCGTTAAGGGGCGTGTCTTGTTACATTACATCACATGTCATGTAGCTGACGCTTTTATCCAAAGCGACTTACAATAAGTGCATTTCAACCATAAGGACACAAACTCAGAAGTTTACAACTTGTTATAGATAAGAGCCATTAAAGGTATAAAGTGCTACAGTTAGTTTGTGTGTTAGTGGAGGCAGAGTGACGATGTGAAGGCTCTCTGTGGTCCTGGGTTGTGTCTCGTTACCTGCCCTGTAGAGGGC